ATTGTTAAGATTCAGTACTATCACAGAAGACGAGAACACCAAACTAAAACCAAAAGATAAATTTTAACATGGTTAAGTGTCAAGTACTACATTTAGACTTTTTTTTTTTGCTTGTGTGTTTAAATTGTAGTACATGATGGAAGAGACCTGTTTTCCTGATATTTAATGTAAAAATTATCCAGAAGTTTTAGCTGAAGACGACATTGAGTCCTCAATGTGATGTGGCTTCTAAAAAATAACATTCCTCAAAAAAAAGTTATATTTAGATCATAGGATGTAAAAAGTTGACTGTACTATACAATGATCAGAATGTATCTAGAGTACTATCTTCAGTTCTTGGTGCTACATTCACACTGGCTAAGTATAAAGGACATCCAAAGGAAGTTAATTTGGATAGTTGATCATTAAAATTGTAGTGTCCGTCATGGTTCAAGGATTCGGTAACCTCTGAGATCAATTCCAGCCCTAAATCAGTGATCCTATAAACTGGGAATGCTTATCTTTGATAATAGACAGCCCAATAGGAGGAATGATAGAGGTCTTTAAATATTTGAAGGGTGGTAAAATGGGATAGACAATAAAGGGAGTAAATTTCTGTGTGGTTCCATAACTTAGGAATAAAACTAAAGGATAGGCATCACAAAGAGGCAAATTTTAGCTTAGCACAAGAACTAGAGCTGAAAAATGGCAGCATGGAAAGAATACCGCACTTGGAATCAGACGACCTTGGTTCGGTTCCTTCCACCATTCTGCAACCTTGACCTGGTCAATTAACATGGTTCATCCACAGCTTCCTCATCCGTAAAATGGGGTAATACCTACAGGATGACTTAATGGGTAAAGTGCTGGCCTTGGAATCAGGGAAATCTTGTCCTTAAAGATGATAAAAAATTGTTGGAGAGAAGCCAAATGCTCTAGTACACAGTTGTTACTGACTGTGAATTGGTCAAACCATTCTGGAAAACAGTTTGGAATTATGTGAGACAAGTCTGTAAATTGGTCATATCCTTGGATTCAGCAATACTACTACAAAGTATATAACCTAGGGAGGTCAGTGACAGAAAGGAAGTACTCAGATCTTCAAATTTTTCTATCACTTTTTTGTGATTAAAATATGTGTGTGTATAAATGAAGTCAGAACCATTGATTAGGGAATGGCTGGATAAATTGTGGTGTGTTGATGTAATGGAATTTACTTTTTACCATAAGTCATGATGAAAATGAGAAATTCAGAGAAACATGGGAAGCCTCAAATTATTGCCAAGTGAAAAGGCAGAACCAGAAAATGCACCATTGTACATGGTGACAATTATATAAGCAAAAACGTCACAAACAGGAAGTTAAACTCAGATTAATGACAGCGATCATTTATTGTCTCAGAATACAAATGGTAAAACATAAATCTCTTCTCAGAAATTCATGAGGTTGCTGTGAAGATCAAGTAAGATAACATAGGTAAAACACTTCATAATCATAAATCAATTTGTAATGTGAGCTGTTACTGAATAATTATGGTAGCTGCCTCATTTCTCCAGCTCCTGTCATGTATGTTACCTATGTCATACATTTTGCTTATATACATGCTTAAGGGGAAAAAAGTAGGTATACACTGACAATAAGTACACAAAATTACCACACTAAAAGTTTTGTGAACTTTTTTGAGCATTTCTTTCTGTTCTGATTTTTTTTTTCATTTTTATCATTGTTATCTTAGATCTTTGTCACTTCATTGTCATTATCACACTGAAAACACCTTCATTTTCCCCTCTCAGTGAGTTTTGCTATACTGTAGTCGATAGAGAGATGGCCTTGAAGTCAGGAAGACCTAGATTTAAGTCCTGTCTCTGATGTACTAGAATGTGACCAGAAACATGTCACTTAGCCTCTCAATACCCCTAGCAACTGAATAAGACAGAAAGTTACAGAGAAGGTATTGATTTTCATTGGTAGAAGAATTTCATCTGTGGGAACTCCCTGTTATGAATCACACAGGTCCAGTTTTGGCTTTTTTTTTTAATGCACAGATAACACAAAATTATACCAGTAATCTTCAAAAATAACTTGAAGTTCCCTTCCTTTGGCACTAAATGGCAGATCTAATGTGTCCCATAAACTTTTTTAAATTAGTAAAGATATAGAAAATTAAAATGGAAATTAATTAGTACTAAGCAACATCCAATGAATAGCAAAATCTTAAGCAATGATAGGTATAAATTACCAATACGTGGTTTGCATGCATTTATATGTTAAGAAGTTTTAGCCCAACTATCCACCGATATAATTAAGTACTTGAAGAATGCCTGTTGTTCAGACTATAATAAGAAATCATACAGTCCTTTTAATGACCCCAAATTTCTTTCTACACAAAGACCTATCTTTTTACATTTAAATTTTATTAACATCTTTTGTTTTAGTGTCACCTTCATTTCCCAATATGTCCCTTGCATCTCCAGTTCCCAGACAGCATTCCTTTATAACAAAGAATAAAAGGGGGCGGGCGGGGGGTGGAATCAGTTCAGCAAAACTAACCAACTCATTGACCAAATCCAAAATTATTTCCAGTGTTGTGTACTCATATTCTTACCACCACTACCACTCTGCAAAGAAAGGAAGGTATATTCTGATGTCTCTTTGGGACCAATCTAGGTGATTTTAATTTTATAATATTCTGTATAATAATCTTATTGCATTTTTTTTCAATTTAGAATGTTATAGTCATTGTGCTTCTATCCACTCTTCATCAGTTCATAAAAGTCTTCTCATACTTCTCCACAGTCGTCCTATTCACTGTTTCTTTCAGTGTAGTAATATCCCATTGCATTCATGTAACACGTAGTGTTTAACCATTCCCCAATTGATGGACATCTACTTTGTTTACAGGTGTTTGCAACCAAAAAACAAAGTACTGCTATAAATATTTTGCCATATTTGGGGCCTTTGTTTTTCTCATTTATCTCTTTTCCTTGTTGCAAATACCTAGCAGAAGGATCTCTGCATCAAAGGATATGGACATATGACCACTTTCTTAGCTTAGTTCCAAAAAGCTTTCCAGGATGGTTGGAAAATTTTCCCAGTTCCACCAACAGTGTATTCGTTTTCCTAATACACACCTCCGGTGTTGATTACTTCTATCTTTTGTCATCTATTCCAGTTTGCATCATGTGAGGTATACCCTCAGCCATTTTGGTTTGCACTTATTAATATGGAGCAATCTTTATAGCTGATAATAATAGTTTGTGATTTTTTTCTTTTGAAAACTGTTCTTATCCTCTGACCATTTTACCCATCAGCAAATAGCTTTTTTAGGATGAGGCCCATCTTTTTAACATCAGCATTTTTCCAGTGATGCTGTATATAATAACAGAGTCTCCTAAGAATTAAAGTTGTAGGTTACCCCAAGAGCAATAAAGAGGCACATAGTAGGAACCAACAAAGAATTGTGCTGGGGAAATGGCATAGAGGCTGTGTCATTGGAGAGAAATATGGACAGAAGACAAGATGAACCAGTCATGTAACAAAAGCAGAGAATGAGCCAGGAATTATTTGTGCTCAGTTGGTATCTACACAATGTCAAGAAATCTAGAGAAAAGCCACCAACCCTTGGATGGAGTAGCAGGGGAGGGGAGGCGGTGTGAGGAGGGTTGCTTTTTGTTGGGATCATATGGTAGGCTATGAACTAGAATCACACAGAATGAAAAAATCATGGCTCTGTTGGGATATTTATAGCTTTGGAGGGAGTGACAGTGAGACCACAGATATTGATATATTCATAGGTCATCATTGCTTTTTCCACTGAATCTGACTACAAAGAAGTGCTATGACACCTGTCCCCTACCTGAGAGCAACTGACTTCTAGGATATCCTCAGCTCCTGTCTTCAACAGTGCCTTATAGGATGACAGATTTAGAGTTAGAAGGAACCTCAAAAGTCATCTAGCCAATCCCTTCCCTTTAGCAATGAAGAAACTGAGGTCCAGTGAAGTTAAGCATCAAGGCTGTTAAATTTCCTTTGCAAAACCATTGTTACCAGAGCAGACCCTTTACTTCAGTCTGAGTACAACCTCACTTCCTTTCTCAGTATATTCCCTTCCACAGTAATCTAATATAGCCATTGCCTTCAGAGAATGGGACTCACTTACCTTAGTTATTCAGAAGATCACGATCTGTCTTTCCCTAGTTAGAGGTATAGTATATAACTTCTTTTTCTTCTTGAGTTCATTGTTTTGTGAATCACTTTCAGTGATAACCTGGAAGAGCTTCTTCATAAAAAGCGAGGACGATCTGTTGTTTATCCTTGTATTTCCTCTCATCCCTACACATGATAGGCACTTTATAAGTATTAGTTATTACTGAGTTGGTTGGGTCATAGAGTCAAATCTCAAGGAGGGGAGCGCCAAGAATTCCTGGGGAGTAAACAAAGACTCAGAAGAGCTAGCATGAGAGAGGTGAACCAAGAAACAAGGAGAAAGGGATTCCATACTGACATGACCTCCATTCCTTGGAGAGAGACCTAGGCATCTACAATGCCCTACTAGGGAACCGTGTGTGTCGAGGAACAAGAGTCAAATGACAAAAGCAGATAGATGGGATATTGGAAACAGACAAACACACATGTGTGCGCATGCACACACACACACGTACATAATTAAGACACTGAGGGAAGGACAATACAACCACATAGCCCTTCTGGAAAAGAGTAACTAGCAGTAGTTATGGACATAGACCAAAAGAGCTACTGGCCAGTGGAGACAAAGAGGAAAAGAAGGATTGGCATAACGCAAGAGTAACCTAGAATTATATTTGGATTGTAATGTAATGCATGTTGGTGAAAGCTGGCATCTACCAGATCAGAGGGTTATTGGAACACACAAAGTTCCTCCTTGTGGAACTACACCATTCAGGATAGTATTATAAGTCAGGAAGACCATAAAGGGAGGGATCTCCAGGTGTCCCAACAGAAACAAGGACTCTATGACTGTTAAAAGTTCTCTTTTGCCAGAGAGGAGAGAAGAGGTACCTGCAGAAGTAATGTAAATCTGGAGGAGGATGTAAATTCTTGGAGAAGTCAAAAGTCACAGTAATTTGAGGTAAAATGAGAAGGTAACTTGGCTTCCTGATGAGACAACAAGCCTAAAAAAAGTAACCAGATGAGAAAGTGAGATAGCTCAAATCTAAGGAGAATTCTCAAGTTATCTACTCTGCTAGCAGAATAGGTCCAGAATTCTAGAACTGTTATACTGTAGAGCATTATAGTTATAGTCCCACCTGATATGCCATTGAGAGATAGAGAGAGAGAGATTTAAGTGTTTGGTCCGTGTAAGGGTCTAATCATTAACTTGAAAAAAAAAAAGAGCCATGTGACATTTCTTCACAAATATAAAAGGAGAAATCATTTTTTAACTCTTGTAACTAACCACTTTGGGGGCCAGGATTCAGTCTTGGGGCCTCTCTCACAAAAACTCTTTGACTCATTTTACTCCCGTTTCCTCAGTGAACATCAGAATATGTTTATGTCTAGGAATCTACAAAAAAAAAGGAAAAGCACTCAGGCTAATATGCACTCAATTATAGGACCAGCTCTATTTAAACTGACAAAACAGCATTGAAAGGGCTCAATTAAAGCTCACAGACAGTCAACAAGGGGTAGTCTCCTATCTGTATGCCATTGTCTGCATCTGTTTATTTGCATGTGGGTTTATGATTTATTCTTCCTTCAAGCTCAACTCCCTCTTTTTCCATTAAGCCTCCCCAAGCCACATTAGCGCACAGTGATCCTTCTGTCTCCTATGACCTCTTTTAGTATTCATTTTCTATATGATTCCCTTAGCAATTAATCATAGAGTCCCCAAATTGGAAGAGACCTCTTATCCTCTGACTGAAGTAGGAATCTGCTAGAAGACCTCCAAAATGAGAACATACTATCTTGAGGCCTTCCATTCCACTTTTGAACAGCTCTTATTTTTAGATAGGTTTTTTGGTTTGTTTGTTTCAGTACAATTTACCAAAATCCATACCTTATTACTTCTTGGTTATCTCCTCTAGGACAGAGCAGGACAAATCTAATCCCTCTTCCACAAGGGATATTTCACATATTTAAAGACAGCTTTCATATTTCCCCCAAGTTTTCTTTTTTTTGGCTAAATATTCACATATCCTTAAACTTCCACAGCATGGTTTGTAGTGCCCTCACCATCCTGGTACCCTAGTTTGTATAAACTATCTTGTTGCCATCTTTCCTAAAATGTGCACTTGCCTGACAGCAGAGGTGTGTACAGTCTAGGGCACAGCACAGTGGGCCTCTCACATCTGTTTTTCTGAACGATACTTATTTTAATGGAACTTAATTTCATACTCATTTTTTTGGATGTCATGTCACCCTGCTGACTCGTCACTGAATTTACAATTCACTACAGTCCCCACATTCTATTCACATGAATTGATGTTTAGCCACATCTGCTCTGTCCTACACAAGTGTGAGTAATTTTTTTAATATTAGAGTTTTATACTTACCCAATAAAATTTTATCTTATTGGAATGAGCCCACAATTCCACCCTGTTCTTATACACTATCCCACATGGTAGCCAGACCTTTCAGATTGGTGCCATCCCTGCAATAGAACACTCTAGAATTTTGCCAAGAACCAAAGTCAAAGTCACACTGGCCTAGAAGAATCTAGTCCGTATTCTTCCCCTTTCTGAAAAGTAGTGCATTATACCTGCCTCTATTCCTGAAGCTCCTCTTCCATTCTCCACAATTTTTCAGAAATCACCAACAACAATTCATCAGTCACATCTGCAAGTTCTTTCAGTGCCCTGGAATGTACTTTTGGACCTGGTGACTTGAACCTCACTGAGAGCATTTAGCTCTTACCATCTCTTCAGTCATTGTGTATCCTTTGGTAATAATGATAATTGCTCATATTTCTGTAGTATTTTTACAATTTACATATAACTTCTCTTACAACAACCATGTGTAATAGGAAGTAGGAGTAGAAGCATACCCATTATACGGAAACTGAGGCCCAGAGAGGTCAAGTGACTTGCCCACAGTCACAGATAATAACTAGCAAAGCAAATTTTCCAAGGCTCAGTCTACTTACTGTACTGCTTCCCTTACACACACACACAGAGATTTATATTATTTTGTTAACAAAATATTTTACATATATTGCCCCATTTGGCCACCATAATTGACTAATGAGATAGATATTGAAAAGTATTACTACCCCTTTTTATAAATATTTAACCTGAGACCCAGAAAAGTTAAATAATCTACTCAAAATCACACAGAAAGTGGCAGAACCACAGCTCGAACCCACATCTTCTCATTCCAAATCTCTTATTTTTTTTCTTTGTATCACAACTTAAAATATTCTCTGTCATTATGCTGACTGTTGTTTATTTCTTTCTGTCAATATTTAATGTTCTACATGTTTATATCTTCCCTATTGGAATATAAGCTCCTTAAGAGCAAGGATGGGGCCCACAATGATTAACGTGGTACCTTATGGCTAAGAATTGGAAATCAAAGGGATGCCCATCGTTTGGGGAATGACTAAACAAGCTGTAGTATATGATTGTAATGGAATATTATTGTGCTATAAGAAATGACAAGCAGGATGATTTCAGAAAAACCTGGAAAGACTTATATAAACTGATTCATAGTGAAGGGAACAGAACCAGGAGAACGTTGTACACAATAACAACGGTATTGTTCAATGAAGAACTATGAGTGACTTAGCTATTCTAAGCAATACAATGATCTAAGACAATTCCAAAGGACTAATGTTGAAGCATGCTATACACCTCCAGAGAAAGAACTAATATTGATTGAATACAGACTGAAGCATGCTATTTTTCACTTTCTTTCATTTTTTTTCTTTTATTCTAGTCTTCTTGTGCAAAATGGCCAATATGGAAATATTTTACATGGTTGGACATGTATAACCTGTATCTGATTGCTTACTATCTCAGGGAGGGAGTAGGGGAGGGAGGGATAGAATTTGAAACTCAAAACTTTAAATAAAAATGTTAAAATTTAAAAAAAAAAGATAGTACCTTAGTCATCACTGCTAATTGATACTTATGTGTTGTGTGATTTTTGTCTTCATTGTGAGTCTTTGTCCATCTGCCTGTCCATTCTGGTGTATGTGGAAGGAGTGTGTCTGTCTCAGATCTCTCAGTGTAATTCTGTATGTCTTTCTGAAGTTACCTAAGTTTTAAATTCCAGAAATAGAGATAGGAACTGGACCTGTGATTTCACTGGTATAGGGAACTCCCAAGTAAAGAATCTTCCTCCACCAATAAAAGTCAGTGCCTCTCCTTCATCTTAGAGTCTTAGGGTTGTCTGGAGCAGTAAGAAGTTAGAATTACTTAGGGTCACCCAGAGGAGGCACTTGAACCAAAGTCTTCTTGACTTGGAAACATTGCAAGTTATAGAGGCAGGATAGATATTAAGACCCATGGTCCTCTCTCTCATGAGAAGGAATAGAATTATTGACTCCCATCTTGTGCAAGCCCTGTGAGCCGTCAGGCAGTCCAAGGGAAGGAGGAAAGGCTGAGAAGAACGCTGCCTTGGTGAGTCTTACCCCACCATTCCATCTTTGATGGACTCTGAAAGAGTCGCCCAAGAGCAGGAGAGGGAGCCAGGAGTGTTACTAATGTTACTGATGAAGGACCGGAGGCCTACAAGTGTTAAGAGTTGCCAGACATGCCCCACATAGTAAGGAGCAGAGCTGAGATTCAAGCCCATATCTTCTGAATTCAAATCCAATATCTTTTATACTATACCATGCTCCTTGTCTGGGTGAATGTGCATGAGAATATGAATATTAACCTCCCTGGGCCTCAGTTTCCTCATTTGTAATGAGGGACTGGACTAGATGGCTTCTGAGACCCCTTCCAGTTTTAAATCTATGATCTTTGTATGTGTAGGCATATACACATATATATGTATGTGTGTATGTAAATATATATATATATATGTAGAAGGAGTTTGTATTTGGAGGCTTTAATGTATATTTTATCATTGGTTCTATGCCACTATATATCTCATAAGGATGGTCTTACCTAAGGAGGTAATTTAATTTATTTTTTCCCATTTTCTCTGGGGTACAGTGGTGTCAGCTCCCCCTATAAATGAGCAACGCTTTGCTTTCTTTAGCCTCATGCAAAGGAGGGAAACTGTTATTAAAGATTCGTTTTGAGCCAAGTAAATTAAATAATAACTGGAATTATTCCCAGACCAGTTTGTAACCCTCTGTACAAATATATAGGTACTTTAGCACAGTCATACTTAAAAAATATAAAATAGTGCTCTTGTCAACAATTTTTCTTATCTTAGAGTTAACAGTCTTAATTTATAGAGATAGTATCTTTCAAAGATATAAAATGGAATGGACTAAGCATGAGCTTTGTGATCACATTGAGGAGCATAGCTTTTACTTCCAGTTTAAGCCCTAAATGAAAGTCTGCTTAATCACCTAAAAGGCACATCAACCAATCACTCAGTCAGTAAGTATTTATTAGGCACATCCTCCATGCAAGGGACTGTACCAGGCATTGGGGATACAAAAGCAAACAGACCCTGCTCTCAAAGAGCCTATGATTGCTCTAGAGAGAAGAGGCAACATGTACACACACACACACACACACACACACACACACACACACACACACATATACTATGTAATGGATTGGGGGGGGACTTACAGCTGGAGAGGATTAGGAAAGATTTCGTGTAAAAGAAGGCACTTGAACTGAGACTTGAAGGGACCTAGGGAGTCTAAGATGGAGAAGGAAAAAGTAAAGCATGCATTATAGATCGGGAGGCAGGGAGGGGGAGGAAACAGGAAGGAGACAACCAGTGCAAAAACGTGGAGACCCAAGATTTAGTGCCATGTCTGAGAAAGACATTTTGACAGAACTGGAGAGTGTGGGAAAGGGAGTGATAGGTAGCAAGGCTGGAATGCTAGGATACAGCCATTGTGTGAAGGGCTTTATATTTCAAACGGGAGTTTATTTTTAATCCTGGAGGTAATGGGGAACCACTAGAGTTTGAGTAAGGGAGTGACATCATGAATTCTACACTTTACAGAAATCACTTTGGCAGCTGTGTTGAAAATGGATTAGGGCAAAGAAGAGACTGGTCCCAGAGATCAGTTAGGAGGCTGTGGCAAAAGGTAATAAGGGCCTGCACTAGGATGGTTTCTGTGTTTCATCATAATCAGTGAATGAAGGTTATCTGTTGAATGGTAAAATTTGCAGTACTAAGAATCCTTTCTTCTTTTGTTTTCCTGTCCCATAATTATATCTTCTTTAAGAATAGGGAATCTAGGGGCAGCTAGGTGGCACAGTGGATAGAGCACCAGCCCTGGAGTCAGGAGGACCTGAGTTCACATCTGAACTCAGACACTTGATACCAGCTGTGTTACCCTGGGCAAGTCACTTAAGCCCAATTGCCTCACCAAAAGCATATATACTGTGTGCTGACCTTCAGTCAAAAAATTGAGCTATAAAAGCACATGTTCCTTCCTATGTAGGCAAAATGATCAGCAAGGTTGATCAGCAACCAGAATTTTTCTCCTCAAGTGACTAGGGTATATTTCAGAGGAGATTATTACCAAAGTCTAAACCTATGGAGTTTGATTCCATTTTTCAGTGGTTTAGAATGAAATGCTTAAAAGTAGAATTTGTTTTTGGTCCCATACTCATTTAAAAGGCTTGTGTTTGTCATTTGGAAAAAATATAGCATAAAAAGACCTTCAAAACTCTTTACTTATAAATAAAACACCTCATAAGATACCGTTGGTGTGGCAGATGAGCAAATCATGCCAGTGCTTCCTAGCATAGAAGAATTTTTTTTGTAAATAGTATTTCATTTTTTCCAATTACATGTAAAGATAGTTTTCAGCATTCATTTTCATAAGATTTTGAGTTCCATATTTTTCTCCCTCTCTCCTTTCCCCTCCCCTCCCCAAGACAGCAGACAATTTGATATAGGTTATATATGTGCAATCATGGAAACATTTGCGCATAAGTCAGGTGAAAGAAGAAATGGAACAGAAGGGAAAAGCCACACACACACACACACACACACACACAAAATGAAAATAACATGCTTCCATCTGCATTGAGACTCCATAGTTCTTTCTCTGGATGTGGATAGCATTTTCCATCATGAATCTTTTGGAGTTGTTTTGGATCACTGTATTTCTGAGAAGAGCTGAGTCAATTATAGTTGATCATCATACAGTGTTACTGTTACTTTGTACAATGTTCTCCTCATTCTGCTCACTTCACTCAGCATCAGACCATACAAGTCTTTACAGGTTTTTCTGAAGTCTGCTTGCTCATCATTTCTTATGGTACAATAATATTCCATTACATTAATATACCACAAGTTGTTCAGCCATTCCCCAATTGATGGGCATCCCCTCAGTTTCCAATTCTTTGCCACCACAAAAGGAGCTGCTATAAATATTTTTGTATGTGTAGGTCCTTTTCTGGGTTTGTTTGTTTTTTTTAAATCTCTGGGATACACACCTAGTAGTGGTATTGCTAGATCACAGTTTGATTGTTGGGCATAGTTCCAAATTGCTCTTCAGAATGTTTAGATTAGTTCACAACTCCAATAAACAATGCATTGTCCCATTTTTCCCACATCTTCTCCAACATTTATCATTTTTCTTTTCTCTCATATTAGTCAATCTGATAGGTATGGTGTGGTACCTGAGTTGTTTTCATTTTCATTTCTCTAATTAATAGTGATTTAGAACATTTTTATATGACTATTAGATAGCATTATTTTCTTTATCTGAAAACTGCCTGTTCATATCCTTTGACCACTTATCGATTGGGAAATGACTTGTATTCTTATAAATTTGACTCAGTTCTCTATATATTTGAGAAATGAGACCTTTATCAGAACACTGACTATAAAAATTATTTCCCAGCTTTCTCCTTTCCTTCTAATCTTGGTTGCATTGGCTTTATTTGTGCAAACACTTTTTAATCTAATGTAATCAAAATTATTCATTTTGCATTTCATAATGTTCTCTATCTCTTGCTTGGTCATAAATTCTTCTCCATAAATCTGACAGGTAAACTATTCCTTGCTCTCCTAATTTGCTTATAGTATCACTCTTCGTGTCTAAATCATGTATCCATTTTGACCTTATCTTGGTATATGGTGTGAGATATTGGTCACATAAAAGAATTTCTGTTCCATTTATTGCTGAGCAAGATTTGAACAAGAAGCAAATTTAATGTAGATAAAACAAGCTTTTTTTGAAGATGTTTACCTAACTCAGTTTCAGCCTGTATTGTGAGAGAAGGGACTGATTAGAACAAGAGGGTAAAGTGTTGCCGGGGCAGTGTTCGTGTGTGCTAAATTCCCACTAATCAATAAATCTTTTTGTCAAGCACTCAAGAATGACGCAGCTCACAGAACTGCCTTGGGTAGGTAAAGAAATATTTACAAATTGCATTTCAAATATTTTATTCTGAAAATCAAAAAACACTTTATTAGTTTGCTCTAGATAGTGTAAGATTACTGTTAATTAGATAATTACTGTGTCCTTCCCTAAAATAGATCAAGTTTCAGGCGGATTTATATCTAGTATCTTACTACATATGAAGGTTTAACATCCCTTATCCAACCAAAGATTGACATGATTATCCAGTACATGAATTGTCAGTATAAATAAATGAGATTTTTTTGAGGCAGTTCTTCAATTATAAAGTGTGTAGTAGGATTTCATTAATTTTAACATAAACTGTGCTTGTTATTACTGTGAAATGTACTCTACAGAAAAGGGCTTGTTTGATAGCTGTGTTCAGAAAAGTAATTGAAGAGAGGTCATTTGATGAAGGGAACTCTGAAGACCACTGGAAAATTACTAGAAGTAGGACAGGATACATCACTCTCAAATTCAGTGGAAAGATGAAACCAAGACATATTCAGATATAGTCATGGAAGCCCAAGAATCATTACCTGAAATAATGAAGTAAATTAATTAAATAGTAGACATTGTTATCCATTCACCATCAAAGAGTGCTAATGACCCCGACTTCGAGGAGGAAGTCCTATGTCAGCAGAAAATGTAACCTGGGAATAAGCTGTGCACTTTCCTATTGAATCAACTCCTTGTCACACAGCTAAAGATTTTAAAGTTAGAAGAAACCATAAGGACTAACCCCCTCTATTTAACGTATTAGGAAACTGGAGGCCAGAGAGGTAAAGTTACTTGGCCAGAGTCATACAAGTATTAAGTGAGAGAGACAGGATTTGGAGCCAGGGCTTCTGTGTCTCCAAATCCAGTCTACGTAGTTAAAACTCTATTCAGTTCCATAGATTCTTTGACCCTAATTTATTTGTCCCGACATCACAGCATCCAGATCTACATTTCACTAGAGTATGAAGAAGATCAAAGTATCTAGGAAGGTTCCATTGAAGAGTTTGTATAAACTAGATTTGTTTAGAACATAGGACAACAAGGATTTTGACAATAAAGGATGAAGTAGTTGTTGAATCTCAAGAATTATGCACATCCTCCAAATAGAAATGGGATTAAAGTCGTTAGGAACAGGCATAATTGAGAAGTCTGAGGATACTACCAGTATTGGAGCAGGGTCCCAGGTCATTATGTTATGAAAATGAGCTCATGGACCAACCAAGGTCTTCATGAAGAGGTCATAACTCAAAGAGTAGAATAACCCCTGTATTTTGAGAGTCTGGTGAGTAAGTTCCAATAGCCTCCAGCCTTGACCAGTATCTCTTCTTGATCCATATTAACCCCACCTCAAGGGGTGGGGGTCAGCCTCTGTGTTAAATTTTACTGCTCAAAGTGTTAAAAGTTTTTGTTATCATGCGAAGAAATTTCTTGCCAGGTGAGAAGAACCTAAGAAAACACAAACAAGTATAAGGTAGTTGCCAGCCAAAGTCTCCAGGAATACCAGTATAGCCTTCATCTCCTGTTTCCAACTTCAGCAAATAATAAACACCCTGTCTTTGGACAGTTTCCAATGTTGCCAGCAGCATACTCTTGGACCTTGGAGTGTGATATCAGTGCAACAACAAGAGTAGATGCAGTGGGGCAGCAAGGTGGAACAATGGATAGAGCACCGGCCCTGGAGTCAGGAGGACCTGAGTTCAAATCTGGCCTCAGACACTTGACACTTACTAGCTGTGTGAGCCCAAACAAGTCATTTAACCCCATTGCTTAGCCAAAAAAAAAAAAGTAGATGCAGAAGAAAACAGCCCATCTAGAATTCCAAAAGTTAGTCAAGCATCTTGGGTACCACAGTTGTCCAGCCGTGTCTTTTAGAATGTTTTTCAATTCAGATCTTTATTTGACACTTGCTATCTACAAGTCACTGTGCCAGGTGATCTGGTGGATACAAAGACAAATATGATCGGGTTCTTCTTGCCCTTGAAAGAGTTTATAGTCTAGTAGGGAAGATAAAACATATACTGTGATTATATTGCAAAGTATTATGCAAATGGGAAGGAAAAGGAAGTATTGGGTACTATGTAGTTCAGAGGAGAGAACTGAATGAATGAAGCATTTATCATGCACTTACTGTGTGCAAAAACACCTTGCTATAGTCACTAACATACAAATAGAAAAGCAAGACAGCCCCTGCCTTCAAGGAACTCACATTCTAAAGGGGAAGACAGTACATGTGAACTGTTGAAATAATCAGATGGAAAGGCCCTGTAACCCTGTGGGGGCAACAACAAAGCAGATGTTGCTGCCTAGTCTGCAATGTCATTTCCACTGATAAAATCATAATAGTTTCTGATATCAGGGAAGACAATTAGCTCTTTGGATCTTTTTTTAAACATACATAAAATTTCGTGTGTTTTCTGGTCAGTCAGTTCCCCAAGATACTGCAAAGTACACTTAGTCCCAAGCCATCAACTCTAGGACAGTTTACTGTGTTGGCTTAATGAGTATGAGAAATGTGGATTTCTGTTGTCCCTAACTCCAATTAAAATGAGTAATTGAGAGCTGACTCTACTTTGAAAGCAAGTAGATGAGCCTAATTCACCTGAGGTGCTCCTTCCTGTCATTGATGGGTGACTCTCAGGACTTTTTAGACATCTCTACTCACTTAAATATGGTAACTTTTTTGTTTTTTGGTAACTTCACAGTCTTTCCACAGGTTTTGGTATGCATCCATTACTGGTTAATTTTAAATAAGCTAGACTCAGTGTGAGTGTTGATAATCTGCTCCTTACTCCCAGTTTAGACCTAATAGAGACCTCAGACTCTAGCCCAATCCCTTCATTTTATAGATAAGGAAACTGAGACACAGAAACACAAGTATTTGCCAAGTTCCCAACTATTACATTACTCAGAGACACTTTCTCTCCGTGAAGACCAAGAATCATTTTTATTGGTAGGCTAATCTAAGAATATGGAATTGAGATTTCCCTACCGCCCGAGCAGCCTGGGGGGCAGCATGCATCTCATCAGTGCCTGTCTCATCAGCCTATTTAAAAGTTCTCTGCAAGCAGCATTGCTCATGCTTTCTCTTTTGGGAACTCTTATTGCAGATGCTAATGCAGGAGACCGAGGACAGACCAATAACGCAGCATCAGCTTCAGCCTCCAACTCCACCTGAACCAGCACCAGGCAGCCAGCTATGCGGGAAAGCTCGCCGGCCACTTGGGTTTCACTCAGCAACACTGGTCACGTTGGGAAAGAAAATTAAAGAGAAAAAAAAACCTTGTTCATTTTAGAGTTCAATTTTTTATTATTGTTGTTCTTATTTAACCTTGTAAAATATCTATAAATACAAACCAGTTTCATTGTATTCTCACTTTGAGGGATTTCCAGGGGTTCGGGAGGGGTCGTGGGGAGGGGACAAACGGAGCAATAGAACATAAAATAACTCCCACGACAATCTTTTTTATGAAAAGTCTGCTGTTATGTACTCTAAAAGCAGGACTCTTGCCTCATGCCCCCTTCCACAAAAGAAGAAAACTGTTCTGTGCTGAAGTTTGGGGAACTTTCTTTTCTTTTTTTCAGTCAAAGTGTCAGACATTGGTATAGTGCACAGCTTGAATTTGGTTGGGAGCTTAGCAGGTGTAATTCATTGGGGGCTTCAGTGTTGCTTGTAAAATTAATCCATATCCTAGGGTATTTGAAGAATTGCCTTTGGCATGTTGGGGTGGGTGTGGCAGATATAATATGAAATGTGTCACATCCATCACCAAGGGAGGCAATTAACTTTCAAGTTTGGAGCTACACGTGGAATGTTTTCAGGGGGGTTGCTTATTTTTTTTTAATTTTGCTCTTACATCAGGGTGAGAGAAACCTACAGTGTCACACATGATAGAAAGTTGTCAGATGAGAAGAAGCAAGCCAGAGTTTAGCTCTATTAGCTGGACAAGAGGATGCTTGTTTGGCTGACTGGAGGCTCACTGCCAAATCTCAGCCTAGCTTTCAAGTAGTGATCTAGAAAAGCTAAAGGAAAAATAAAGTTAGGTGAGCCAGTCTGGTCTGCAGAAGAGAAAAGCAGGTGATGAACTGTGTCCTATGGGAAGGGGACAGCTGAGGGGCTCTGGCAAATGGCCACTGTGAATATATTTTTCCAGGTTTTGCTCTGAAATTGCTTCCCTTGCAAAGATACACCATGAGAGGACACTATAGTTTATAATGTGAACTGTAACAGTCTACTGGTTTATTTTTCATAATTTTTTATTGAAAGTTGAGCTTGCAAATTGCCACATTCTATACATAGTTCTAATTTTAAATCCAAATCTAGAATCTATATTTAATTTCATCCTTTTTTAACCTCATGCTTTTTTAATTTTATTTATTGATGCATGTCAGATACGCCATTATGATATTAAAATGGTAAAAATATTAATAAACTAGGCATCAAAATTATATAAAAAGTACTTGTACCTGCTGACTTATAGGAAAGCTGATTATATAAATGTGTGTATATATATTATATATATACATGTATACATATATTCAATACTGCTTTTTTATTTTTTGTCTACAATATCAAAATTGTCTGATTGAAGCATGAGAAGAATGCTTTTTCTTTTCCAGTTAATTATCTTGTTCTGTTTTCTTTCTGTATCAGTGAATGATGTCAGAATCAAAGTCTCTGTTTTTGAAGTAAAAGCAATATTCCTCAGAAAGCCAGGAGGGTAGATGGATTATATTTGCAATGTAGAAATAGTGTTTTCAGAACTGGTCTGTTTTATACTTGTGAGTTTGGTGTCCACGTGGGCCTTATATACTCACTAAAATGAACCTTAGTCACCTTGGTGCTTATGGGCCATTACTTGACCTGTGACTCTTTAAGGCACAATCAGTTGTATTTTACATTTAAAGATCATTTTAAGTGATGGCCCCTTCCCTCCTGCCTACCCTTCCTCAAACACCTTCCAAGGATAAACTAGCAACAGCAGAGCTGGCTGCAAAGTTACTGCTAGGAGACAGGAAGGGTGGAGGCTTATCTCTTCCCGAGATTCAATTTGCCCTCACCCTCCTCATTGCTACAGGAAGTCATGTAGGGATTTGAATGTCTCACCTTCCAACTCATTTAGAAGATTAGTCTCTTAGTAGTCCTGGAAATGGGCACTGCCACTGCCCTGCTGTTTGACAAATAGGGTGTCTGAGAGATGGTTGCCTCCTGCTGAGATGAACTGATACCCAGAAAGAAAACTATGAGCCATCTTAGTTTTCACTCATTCAGCAATGCTCTTTGGGGTGTTTGAAAGCTCTGGGTATAGCATAGTAGAGAAAAGAAAAACACACACACGCGCACACACACACACACACACCTCCCCAAAAAAAGCCCTCACAACTATTCTTAGTTTGATTAGCTATAATAATTAGAATCTGAAAGAAGTCTGAATTCATGAAACTTGCCAGCAGAATCCCATAAAGGGAAATAGGGCTTTGATAATAAGTTTCCCAAAAGAATTTATAGAAGATTTAAAAGGCAGGTTAGTGACTAATAATGGATGTGCTTTAAGACAATGCCCAGCCACAGATTTGGAGACAGACATTACTCTGGACTTGGATAGTATTTTCCAAAGTCCATAAAATCACTGCTTATATCAGGAAACACTTTGTGTCTTTTTTTCCCTGAGGATGGAAAGAGGAGGAGGAGGAAGAAGAAGAGGGAAATGTAAGCGCTTTTCTCTCATTTTTATTTTATTTTGTGTGTGTGAGGGCTGAGGTCCGGTGATTTTACTTTCTCAAGGATCATGACAGGATCCCAGAACTCTTTTATACAAGTGAGATCCAGGTCTCTGAATATCTTTTTGTAAATAATAATAATAATAATAATAATAAAAAGCTCCTCACCAAATTCAAGCTTGTACATTATATTTTCTTTTGATGTTTTTAAATTTAAGTTTTATTGTTTTGTATGTAAATATGTGGACCCAGGAACTGTTATTAATGAGCAAAAAGTTACTGTTCAGGGCAGTGATTCTGTTTAATAATCAGACAAAATGTAGACGAGCTTTTTAAAGCCATATAGTTTTAACTCTGTACAGTAGGTACCGGCCTGTATTATTGTAACAATAACTCTAGCAATGTATAGTGTATCTATATAGTTTGGAGTGCCTTCGCTTCCATGGTTCGTTTTTGGTTCTGTTTTTTGTTTTGTTTTGTTTTATAATTTTGTTTCCCTTTTCTGTGTCCCCATTCCCTCTTTTAAGTAATGTCTCACAAAGCAGCATTTAGCCCTTCCCACAGCTGTTATGAGTGCTGTTAAGGTTTCAGTGATACCATGCTTAGTAGTGGAAAGAGAGGAAACCATGTTATAACTCATTTTACTCACACCCTGACTTTGTTTTGGCTCTGAGTGTTGGTTTCCTCCCGAGTAGCAGTGACCGGTTTCATTATTTCACACATCACCCACCCAGCACCAAGTTGCCCTAAAGCTGGGGCAGGGATCCAGCTAGATTAGATTTTGCTCGTCTTTCCCCAAGCCCTGCATCCAGGGGTCTTGTGAACAGCAGATTCTGGGAGTCTTCCT